TAACCTAACCTAACCTAATCTAACCTAACCTAACCTAATCTAACCTAATGTAATGTAACCTAAAATTACCTAACCTAACCTAACCTAACTGATGTTATTGAAGCCAAACTTTCCTGTTTCAGAAACAGCAATGGGCGTTACAATTAATGCTCAGAACAATGGCGAAGCAGAATATATCACTGCAGTAAAAAGGTATACGTAAATGTAACAAATTCTCATAAGGACTGATTAATAGTTAATTTGTAATATTCCACTGTAGAAAATTTACATTACTTCTAACAAAACTAACCAGTCTAATGTCATATTTGGTTGCTGCTTCTCACAAGAAGAACAGGAGTTAAAATATTTGAAGCCAAAACTCATGTAAATAATATTTAAGAGTTCAGTCCGTACCGCACAGAAAACAACGCGTTACGATTATAAAGATCATCTTGTTGATTCTGTTTGAATGTAATAATCACTGTTACAGTAAATATCGTACGAATCCCATAAATGCAAAATGCAGTGTTAGTGATTGTTAAAGGTGGTACGTATAGTTACCGCTGATTTTTAAATAGTTAATGGTAACTGTTGTTTTAAATGGCTTCATAAAACTGTGTTCTGTGGACGAAATGAACTAATAGGTATCTCGTATTCTTCTCTGTTCCAAATTTTGTCGCCAAAACTGCTGAAACACTATAGTTATTAAATATGCCCGGTTAAATTTGATTTTGGTTCGTGTAAATCTATTAAATATAAAATATTGTAATTGCGTCATATTGTGATCCGTATATTGAAATATATATTAAAAATTACAGTCACTCACAATTATAATAATAAAATAATATTAAAAGATGTGTATTTAAATGATCTTTTAATATTATCTTATTATTATAATTGTGAGTGACTGTAATTTTTAATATATTTTTCAGTAAATCTATTAGTTTATACTTAATATTTTATACGAAACACAAAACAAAATTTTTGTTATTTTTTAAGAAATAAAATATCTTACTGTGCATTAGCAAATCTTTAAACTTAGGCGTAATTTTCATGAACACTTATTGTTATTTTTTTTAGAAAATGTATTTTGTCTTTGTTTTTTCCCAAACACTACATTTTGGAAAATTATTTTTGGTTCAGTCTTCACGTGACACAACAAATGTGCCTGCTTTTGAAAGAACACGCGCAGTTTCGGAAATAGCGAACAATACCCAAAATAATAACCACGTCTATGATAAAATACCATCTCTCAGATTTATAACAGTGTTTATTAAGATTAAAGAATTGTCTGACCTGTATTGGGCAGTCACTTTTTACATAAGCCACGGTATTAATGTTTAGTCCAGTCTGGAATTCCATTGATTACCGTTTTACAGGGAGATTTTATATATTTATTCGTATTAAATATTTATTTTGTAATATTAGCGGCACCGGTGATTAAATAAATTCTGGAACATTCGCCAGGAATTTTTACTTTTTGAATCACGTAGTGACGTCAGAGTTGTCAGTTACCTTTGGGCGTGTGTGGTTTATCTGCGCCGATGGACTGGTAGCGGGGTTTCTGATGATTGGCCACCGCGGTCACCGGACCTCACTCCCCTATTTACGTGAAAATATGGTGTATGAATTTTCGATACTGCTAGATGCATGGATGACTCTGAAATTCTTCGTTAATAAATCAGAAATTGTGTATAACAGTGAAATTATTTTTTTATGCACTAATTATCGTTTTTCTATTGAAAACTTTTCTTTCTGGTATTGTTGATTACAGAATGACAAAAGTTATAGTGAAGAGGCAGTTTTCTCCATGGCTATATAAAGATTACATTTACTATTTATCTCCATTAGGACGAGAACAAGTTCGACTCCAGAAATTTCTACACTCCTTCACCAACCAAGTAAGTGGGTTAATTTTCCTTATGTATCGCATGACATTGAGTGAATTATTAGTTAACAGTCGACTTTACTGCTATAGTTTAATGGGAATTTTTTCACATGAAATAATCCAATTACAATACCAACCAAAAATTTTCCTTACACATACACTAAGAACTTTTACGTCATCATGCCGATAGAAAGAGAAACTTTCAAAGTTTATTTTACATATCTCATAAATTCTCTATGTGTCCGCCCGAAAATCGATTTCCGCCCATCCCGTTGCAGTATGTCACGATCGATCTGTGTCATGACCGCGATGATTCGTCTTTGCACCTCAGATAGATCCCGCGGCAAAGGCTGTACTAAGACCTGGTGTGAGATCAGGTGATCGGGGTGGCCAACGAAACAGCACATGATCATTGGTAGCCATGCGTCGGATACAACGTTGTGGCAAATCCTGACTGAGTTAGCCGCGGACGAAACGGTGACAGTGTGGCGGAGCGACCATCTTGCTGACAAATAGTCATCGCTGAGGAATTAGCCATTCCTGTATGATATCAAGATAGGACGAGCCAGTGACGGTTGCCTTGGTAAAATGCCTTCTCTATTGCTAGCGTCGTTATTTCACTCAACTAAACCTCATACGATATGGTGATGTACTTACCCACACCCTGGCGGCAATCCACGAAACTAAACGCCCACGGCACGTACCAACAAACTTGGAGAGTTTCTTTTCCTATCGGCATGTCCTATGTTACCATCCATTGCACCATTCATGTCTAGCGATTTTTTGTAATGTCTTAGGGAATTATGAATAACCCTGTATATATATATAAAAACCATTAAATATTTTGACTTATTTTGTTCATCTTTACTTGCTAAATATTTACAACTGCATAACGCATATTGTTAAACCAGGTAAAAATTGATTCGCTTGTAATACTCAATAATTCAGTAGTCGGTCCCTTATAATATTTTAAAACCCAAGGATGAACAAAAATGTCGAAAAATATTGTGGTCCTTGTAATAAATTCTGTCTTCGTTCTTAGAGTCTCCTTGGCTTCATATATTATTTTAAACTTTTAATCACGTTTGACTTGGACCCTGGGACTGTGGGTTTGAATCCCACTCAAGACATTGATGTCTGTAAGCGTCATTCTATGTTAAGTTGTCATAAGTGGGTGGAGGTCTTATGACGGGCTGGTCAGTCGTCCAAGGAGTTCTAAAAAATGTCGAAACTGATTCACAATTTCAGAAGTAATTCTGAAATTGTAACAGATCACATGGGCCTAATCCGTAACAGTATTAAGAAGGATAATATAGATAGAATTATAGATAAAACTACTTGTTTCAGGTCATAAAAGAGAGGAGAGAAGAATATAGAAACAATATTAAAAGCCAAGAAAATAATATGCCAAAAAGTATGTATTAACTATATTCAAATGGTTGCAAGTACGGAAGAACAGATAAGTTGTTATACTCAAGGGCTGTGTTCGTATGAATTAGTGAATCTAAAAAGCGTAAAATATAAAAAAAAATCACATTTTATGAAGCCTTCAAGGCGACTGAGTATAATGAATTCTTCTCGGGCTACCAGACGTGAAAGGTGGTTTAATGCAGAAAACACCCAACGATTGGAGAACCGGCTAGGTCCTCAGGGTACTCAAGTACTCCATACCCTGAGGAAGAGTGGTTCTTGAAACGTTGTGTTTTCACCATTAAACAACTTGACAATTCTGCTAGTCCGAAAAGAATTAGTTATAAAACTCGTAATTTTTATGGGAAAATGGCGACAGAATCCTTTCATGCTAAATTTATTATCTGAGCATACCGCTACAAGCCTAGAGACGTTTCGACGTAGAAAATGGACTATCAACTTTTTCGTGTATAGGATAGTTATGTTGCTAATGGCACTGATATAAAACCGCGTATATGCGAAAACGCGGATATCAAAACGACAGGTGCCTACTAAAAATTCTGAAGCTTCTTACGATGGTCTCGGGTTCGATTCCCGGCGGTGCCCGAATTTATAACTTGCGTTGGGCAAGGCCGTGGTCTAGGCAACACGGAGTTTTCCTCCGTGGCATCCCAACAATTACTCCATTCACACACAGAAGAAGGCAATGGCAAACCACTTCTGGATCATCTGCCAAGAACGTATATGAACAGGTCCCAGTCCGAGAAAAGGATGGAAGGATCCTGTTCATATGGACCTGTCGTCAGACAGAACACTAAATAAAATAAACTTTGTCACACCCAGTGGTCTTGTAGGTGGTTACTAATATTTCAGAGAAACGTGTCTCCTCGACTTTCAGGGTATAAGGGAAGGTACTTCAACTATACGCTGAATGTGGAGGTAATAATTAAAGCAGCTTTAATTCTGCCAGTTATAAATTTGCGTGATGATGTTAAATTCACCAGGAACACAGTGAAAATACCTTTATAAATTCAGCGTTTGATTTTTAAAATTCGTAATTTTAAGAATATTAAAGTATACTCTATAATATGTGTGCAATATAAGCAATATGTTTAACGTGATATAAAGTTTAGATTTTTGTTTAAAAATATTTATTGAAGATACACAATTTTCAGCCATTGAAAAATGTGTTACGTAACATGGGAAAATATCGTATTTCATCGATTGTAAGCCGTATAGCACGTATAGGTTAATTTGTATCTTATATGCGTCATGTTTGTGTTTGATTAAATATATTTATTTTGTACAGTCTATACACAAACGCTAAAAAATATAATGTAAAATCGTATTTACGATTAAGAGCGCTAATATAATATTTTACACAACAAAATGTTTTAATATTATATAATTTTTACAACACCAATAAACTTCAAACGTTTGTGTATAGACTGTACAAAATAAATATACGTATAGGTTAATTAGTGCGGAAGTCAAAAACCTGCTTTAGATTCTACAAACGATATAAAATCCATGTGCTGGAATGTTTAAAACCTTGATCTGGATGTAAATGTTGTTAAATCATCACTGCCAGGTTCACAGATAATGGGAAATTGAATAAATTTTAATATTCAGGTAAGAGACGTCGTTTAGCTTTTCTGGATCTGCTGATTGAAATGTCAGAAAATGGAGGATTACTATCTGATTCTGACATTCGAGAGGAAGTAGATACTTTCATGTTTGAGGTGAGTTCTAATCTTCGCTTTAAGCTCTGTAAAGCACAATGTCAGCTTATACATAACCACTTAATTTAACATTAAAAGATTCTTCATTTCACATAAAGTATCTTTATTTAGTTCGTATGATTTTCATAATAAACATCAATTATTTACCTAAACAGCATCAACTAATCTTTTTAATGTGCATGACTTGTTTTCTTTGAGGTAGGAACTGTTTTTAAATGTTATTTAATATAAGTTAGTGTTTCAAAAGTTGACTTATATTTAGTTAAAATTTGTAGCTTAGATGCGTCATGTTTGTGTTTGAACTAAGTATGTATTTATTATTCCAGTCTATACACAAACTTAATTTAAAATGTTGTTGTTAAAATTATAGCGCTTTTCATCGTATTACGACGTTACATTTATTCGGCGCTTATTATTAACGACATCTTCAATACAATACAGTTTATTGACCCAACCCCGTAAAACAACTTTCTCCCTATATATACAACCAGCATTCAACACACATACCCAGTCACAGATTGTCATCACCCGATAGCAGATGTAGGACACACCACACATCACAAAATTGGTATGTTTCTTATATTTTTACATGTATATGTTTCTTTGTGTTTATTTTCTATGTCAATTTCCAAACTCATTTCATAATAGTAATTAGACGTTAATTTCACAGAAAATGAACATCTGACCATAGACATGCAGAACATTACGAAGACTGAAAAACCTACAAAAGAAAATCTACAAAACAAATCAATAAATCAATAAATGGTTGCATTAAAATAAAATATATAATAGTTTTAAAGATATAAAAAACGATAAAAACCTGAAGATGATGCAATAATAGCATCGAAACATGTCGTTAATAATAAGCGCCGAATAAATGTAACATCGTAATACGATGAAAAGCGCTATAATTTTAATTTTAACAACAACATTTTAAATTAAGTTTGTGTATAGACTGGAATAATAAATACATATATTTAGTTAAAATTGTTTAACACAGATCCCCTCTCCACATGCCATTGCGTCAGACATGATTTTGGGTACAAACGCTTATAGGCCTATTTGACCAGTCTGATCTATTCATAACGTAACGCGACTTTCGGTGGCCAGTATCTTAATTGAAGAGTCTTTGAGAATTTGATAATTCGATTATCTAGTCGAGAAATTAGTCGACTTTATTTCACACGGAGATTCATTACTAAGTTTACAGGAGAAACTGAATCCTATCAAGATGTATGAAGATGATCATTCTCTGGTATGTTACCCTGTATAGTCTCGTAGATATTCACCGACGTTTCAGAGATGCTTACAGTGGCAACGTGAATTATTAAAAAGATGTTTACAATTCACAGCTGCACACTTAGTATTCTAAAGATTTGTTTTAATATTATTATCCGATTCGGGTATTATAATTTGAAATGTATTTGATTCCTCATTTCTCTCTTGCGTAAAGAAAAATTCCCTACTCTTTTAAGAAAATGTTCTTTGAACACTGTAATAACATTTGGTGAAGAGAGTATAAATCATGAAATTTCACCAAACCGTTCACAATCACACTCTCCTGAGCGCCATCTTGAGAAAACACCCTCAATCTGTGAGACGTAAGTTACCCAGAAACTTCGCGTAGACGAGACTATATTTCTACAAAATTTTGGTGTCTACCTACAATTCCACAAGCATTACAACGAAGAACTTCATCAACCCACAATCTACTATCTTTCTTTTGTAAGGTAGTACATTTGCGTCATATTGTGAATTAAGTTAATATTTTAATATTTTCTTTCTTTTATTAAGAGACCATGTTTCACACCAAGAAAAACAGTTGCCACATACCCGAAATTATTTTTTACTGTTCCAATACTCATTTGTACCTACGATGTCTTTGTACGTACGCCCCTGTGACGTATGCAACCATTGAAGTTACGTGATTCACTACTAGCAGACCGAAAAACGTTGTGCTTGTTTTCATTTGATGTAAACTTTACTGGTAATACTTTAAAATCATAGATGTTATAAAATAGTAATAACAAAACAAATAAATGAATAACAGATACGTATATTTTATGTGCTGATTAAATTCAGGGACTAACTTTAGCCACTGGAAAGTCATTGTTCTAATTCAATGTAGTTTAACTGTCTTTTGTACTGGACAGTTAAATAAATTATTTGTTTCAAATTTCAGGGTCATGACACGACATCTCTTGCTATTTCATGGACCATGTATTTACTCGGGTGTCATCCAGAAATTCAGGTAAATTAATTAATTTATAATTAAAAATATATTTGTTTGTACAACGCCTTATATGATTTTGTATAAATTCATGTGTCGACTATTGGGGAGGGGGGGGGAATTATATCTACTTATATTGGACTTCAATTTAGAATAAAGTTGGTATTATTCCAACGAACATAGTACGAAAACTTCGAATCCCTCAACGATGCCAATGATAAATTTTGAATGTAAGTTAAAGTTCATACTCTACGAATCAAATGTGTGTGAAATTGTCACAATGCCCATATTTCGCAGTGGTAGTTTCCAAAATATTTTAGATCTGTGCTCCTTTTCCGAAATTAATTAATTACGTTGTAATTAATGTTCGTTCTGATCTGAAGCTTTCACGGCGAATAATTATAATAAATTCTTCTCGGACTACCGTCCGTGTAAGGTGGCTTAATGAAGTGTTGTTTTCTTAATTAAGTCATCTTACAGGGCTGGTAGCCCGAGAATAATTTATTATAATGTCCGTTCATTTATCGCCACGTACGACAAAAAACAAAACTGTATTTAAACTATATACAGACGATTATTATATAATATATTTTTAACTTAACCAGGATTGAAAGCAAACCGATTAGAGGTATTCAAATTTTAAAGAGATCGATATTTTTATAACAACACTAAAAAACAAAATTTTCCCGAGCAGTGTCGAAGTTTTTTGAGACAGAGATTTTTTCCGGTATGTCAATCTCCATATATATTCCATATTTTTGTATTAATCTTCACCATAAATCAGTAATCACTAACTGAAACTTTCAAATAAAATTCATTTTTAACATTTAATAAAACAGACATCATTTGTACAGAAATCTGAGCCAGTTGTGTGTTCGAAAAAATTTGATTATTATTCGTCTTAATATTATTTCATAACTTATCCTCGGACATATGAATGTCTGTATCCACATATATTTCCCCATCAAAATTTTGTAATCATTTCTTCCGTTTCAAGGCCGAAGCACGTGACATATCACTAGAAAACAATCCTCATTAAGTAAATATGTGGATGCATAATAAATTATCATAAATATACGTATTCTTTCTATGCTATAATAACATAGAATACAAAATTAAATTATAACTCCATTTCTAAAAAAAGAATTTTTCACAAAATAAACTAATTACGTGCAGTAGAGTCAAATTTTATTTTTAGTTGAATTTTCTGTCATTCGATGACTTATCTGTGTAACGATTTCTGACTTTATGTTTGTATAATTTCATCATTTTATATTTGCATGTTTGTCACAGATGAGATATATGTGGGCTCGGACCTTCGAGAAAACTTTGAAATTACGTATTACGTAGCACGACTGATATTTCTCATTATTCTCCAAAACAAAATTTTTGAGAGATATTTTATATGTTGCGTACTAGCATACATGCACTTTTAATGTTTGTGTGTGGGACATATATTTAAATGTTACATTTATATAGACGTTCACAATCAGCAAATTACTTACGATAAGTTTCACGAAAGTAAAATATAATGCAGTGTATGAATTTGAATCAGAAATGTACAGACATATAAGGCTGATGTGTGGTACGGAAATGAAATAAATACAGTTAAAAAGAGGGAATAAGATAAAATATAAAATGTTTAAAATGTTGGCAGGGATGAAGGTACAAACGATATTATTCCTCGTTATATTTTAAAGAGCATTTTGGCTTCATTTTCCTTCTACTGCAGGCTTCATGTGTAATATTTCAACATTTTGTCCTTTAAAGGAAAAAGTAGTACATGAGTTGAAAGACATTTTCGGAGACTCTGACCGAGAAGCTACTTACGAGGATCTGCAGCAGATGAAATACCTAGAACAAGTCATCAAAGAATCTCTAAGACTGTATCCTAGCGTTCCAGCCTTCTCCAGACAAGTGGAAGTTGACGTAAAGCTAAGTACGTTTGCCTTGTTTCGCATATTATGTAGATTTCAGTTTAATTTTATGTCGAATGAAATTTGTCGGTAGAATTAAATTTGAACCATATCTGACCAATATAACGCATAATTTGTAATAATTCAAAATCTACTTCTTCTTATAAAAAGTTATCGTAAAAAAGTGTTGGTATATTATTTAAAATATAGTGTTGATAAGGCCTTAGAGTCATATTTAAAACATTTTTCGACATGACATAAATTATATAACTGTATAATTGAAGATAGCAAATTTTATGACTATACAGCATAATATATGTAATGTAATTAGCTGAGAAAGATGTACTAATCGATCGAAGTCTATTCAAAATGTACTCAAAGTAATGTGAATTGAAAGACACGTCTTTACCATTATTGAGAAGCTTTATAACAAAGTTACTTCTTAAAAAACACCGTCAGATGTCGTCGACCAAGACTGATGCAATTATGTAATCGATTTATAAAACTTAACATTACGTTCAATAACTTGGCTGGTATTAATTTCTTCAGAAATATACTGCTCGGTAATCGATGAACACTTTAAGAAATATGTTTGAACATCGAAGTTAGCCAGTTAGTTCCATCTCTTACCTTTAAAATCAATGTTTCAAACATGTCCAACAGACTTGTATAACCTCAAACAGAGAATTTCCGAAAAAAAATTAATGCCTTATAATCGACCATGTTACCCCGCGTAATGATGTCACGAATCGATTGCATAAGTGTATCGATCCTAATGGTCGATATCTAACATGTGTTATTTTTAAGAAGTAACTTCTTATAATATTCCACAGTAATGCCAAACACATATCATCTCAGGCTTTAATTAATTACTGTGTTGATATAATATTTGTAATTTTCAGTGAAAGGAAGTGATGGTGGATTTTACAATATTTCTTATTATTTATTTAATGTCATTTCAAGTGTAGAGTGTTAACTCAGAATTAACCACATTTTCGACTAATCGCTTTACTATTGTACTCCGTCCCTTTTACGCTGGTTGAGAACGGGGAAGGGGGGAACACACATTACGGAAGTCGGAACCAACACACACCTTTCGCCTACGTCACTAACTTACGCGCAGAAAGAAAACAAACGCATATACTACGTAAACGAAAGATATTACCGACATACGAACTGAGACATCAAGCTACAGAGTATTACCGCTGAGAAATAATGTTTGTAGTATGGTTAGTATATGCTCCCTTATCTGCTACGCCTTCCAACCTTCAGATTACCTTTTTATTTACTTCTGACGAACGCATAGATTGGCCCCGATTATTGTATTTTATACCGGAGTATAGGTTAATTTTCCTGTTAAAAGTGAATTAATGTCCCTCTGTGTTTATTTCAGAGAACTACACTATTCCTGCCGGGACACAAACACCGATTTTGTCATTTATTATGCATCGTAACCCGAAAGTGTTCCCCAACCCAGAAGAATTTAACCCAGACCACTTCTTGCCGGAAAATGTAGTGAACAGACACCCATTTGCCTACATTCCATTCAGTGCCGGACCAAGAAGTTGTATAGGTGAGAATTGTTTAATTCTTCTACTAAAAATCTCAAGGATAAGTCACTATAATTTATCTGCTGTATTGTTATTTTTCTGGTATCTTATTTTTAGACTAGTTTGATATTTTTTTAGCTATGATCCTGTGGTGTGTCTGGTTTTTAAGTCTCCGGGTGTAATTACATACTTTCTATTTAATCTTTTCTCATTATCTCTCGCTAGCAGTACTTTATTATTTGTAATTAGCCCCTTGTATCAGACTAATCAGAAAAGTCAGTTTCACTTGAAGATGGTAGCAAAACTAGCTATCGAAACGTAGTGTTTACGTTTTTTTAGTGTACTGAACGCACCTTTGAAGCTTAAAATTGTAAAGTTGTTAACATAAAAAGTAAGGTTAGGTTTTCAAATCTTTTAATTAGAGCTAAAGTCTGAGAAATATACTACGATACTTTGAAATATTTGTTAACAGGCCAGAGATTTGCTATGTTTGAAGAGAAAATCGTACTGAGTTCTGTGCTCAGAAAATTGAGACTAGAATCTCTTGACAGAAGAGAAGATGTACCATTACTCCTAGAGTTGGTTCTCAGGCCGAAACATGAACTCAGAATCAAGATTTCTTCACGATAATTATCAATAATGAAGCATAGAATCCTTTTTAATTGTTATGTAACTTCTTTGTACTTTAAGACAGGAAACGTAGTACATAATCCTTCTCTTGAAAACATATAAAATCTAACTGGATTGTATGATCTCAAGTTTTCGCCCTGAGGATGAGGACGAATATGGTTGTCGAAACGTTGGTGTCTCCTTCTTTAAGCCACCTTGCACGGCTGGTAGCCCGAGAGGAATTTATTATAAATGTATCTTCTTTGTTGTCTGTTATTTGTCATATTGGACTCTGTTTTCCGTCCCACAGTTTTAGACACTTCATTTAACAAAGTGAATATGAAAAAATAATCGTTCGTATATCACACACGGCTTTTATGAGCGGGATAGTATTTTTTAATATTATTTTGACTATACATTGCATCAGTAACGACACAAAACAATTAATACTTAATTGCGTTATAAAGTTAAATTCTCGAATAATTTACTATTTGGTTCTCCTAACCTCACATTCCCTACAATGTCTTAACTTTATTTCAACATCTGAAAATAAGGTTATTCCGATTTTAAAAACGAAGAACAACAACTACTATGTTTTATATTTCAAAATATTGTCTTATAAATTCAACCTGTACTCTTATTCCAGAGCAGAATTAAAGGTTTTTAAGAATAAAGTATCTCACGAGCAATGTTTTTGAAAGGTGTTTTCAAACATGGACTTTTAAAGTATATTTTCAAATTTGGATGCTGTGTAGTTTTTCCACGCAGTTTCATTGCCACCTAAGCATGAATCTTGTCCCCCAGCCGTCGAAAACAATACCTTATTAAGAAATATATAAAGGCAAATCATGATTGTTAAAGTGGAGGACTGTACGTGTGATGTGTCATTCTCTGGCATGAACACAGATGTCATATTTGTTCGTCGAGGACAACTTCTTTAGATTCAAGGTTCCCACGGTGGAGATATATCGATATATCGGTAGTGGTCGACTTGCTTGTGATACCGTGTGGTCCTGTATGTGGTTACCAACGTTTTGGAGGAACTTATCGCCTCTTTCTTAAGGATTAAGTGAAAATGGAGGAAATATGTTTCTCCAAAACTGCCTACAAGATCACAGAATGTCAACACCTAGAAAACGATTTCCGACACACGTAACGTTAACAATTTAAGGCCGAATGATTACTACATATTTCACCTGCTTTGTACAATTTGAGATTTTCAAGGTAGTGGGTGAGAACAAAGATGGCTGTCGTCTGGGTTGTAACTCCGTGTAACCTGATAGAAGTTTACCAGCGTTTTAGGAGCTCCTGATGCCTCCATCATCAGGGTGCTACAACCCAGAAGATAGTCACTTTCATTCCACCTGCTTTAACGACCAGTAACTCTTAATTTTATCTCACAATAAATAGTAGTTATTTCATTAACCAGTTGATCTTTCTAATCGTAACGGTTTGTTATCTTTGCGGTACGGACTGGATTCTTAAATATTACTCAACTTAGGATGGTTAAATTATACAAGAGGGCTACTTTGCCCGTAGTACGAACGGGAAATTAAGAGTATCTGCCCACGTAATTACTTTGTTATGGTCAAATACCGCAGTTGAGTGATTTAGACTCTTGCATCGTGTTCGGGATTTAACCGGTTCGAATCTGGGTCGGATTACGAACTTATTCTGACGAAACTTTCTCCCATTGCTCATTGCAGGAATAGTAACTTTAAACAGGCCACGACACTCTAATCGTCTTCAGTAATCATTATTTCCCATCCATCTTTCAACATAATGTTTCAGTTTAAACGTAGTTGAAAATATACGGATTAAAAGTAGACATCGGTTAGCAACGTATGGTACATACCCCATTTTTTTTTTTGGTGTTCTGTCTGACGACAGGTCCATATGAACAGAATCCTTCGATCCTTTTCTCGGACTGGGACCTGTTCATATACGTTCTTGGCAGATGATCCAGAAGTGGTTTGCCATTGCCTTCTTCTGTGTGTGAATGGAGTAATTGGTGGGATGCCACGGAGAAACCGGGGAAGCCCCCGGAGGAAAACTCCGTGTTGCCTTGCCCAACACAAGTTATAAATTCGGGCACCGCCGGGAATCGAACCCACGCACCAAAAATGTGTGCTCGATTTTAAACATGTGTTTTAAAGCCTCTACATTTTATGTGGAAGAATTAATTGGGTGGTGTATATTTAAGAAGGTAAATCTAAAAGTTTGTTCATAGTATAAAGCGTCAACAGTCGATTTAATATTTATCCAAAATGTATCAGACGTTCCTGGTAGAGAATTGTTATCCAAATCCGACAGTGAGTGAAGTTGCATACAGAGCACCCTTAAGTAGTTTTGTTTCGCTTTGTACAAGATATTAAAATATTTTTACATGGATGTCATTCCGTTATTTTTTTAAACCCCCACCTAAAATTTACAGACGTGTTTGTAAGAACAGGACATTCATATTTTCATTTGTTTCTTGATGACATAAGACTTGAAATGAGTCATAAGTCATGTAACAAAACTATTAACTAAGAATATTAAATGATTGCTCCAAGTAATTTGATTTAATATTATTTATTGTAATCTTAGGATCAATAACGTATTATTTGTAACCAGTGATGGATCTATTAAAAGGCAATTTGGGGCAGCTGCCCATAATCAATGTCCTTAAATTTAAAGAGGATATAACAAAGTTCTGAAGTGTGAAACGACACAAATTCTGTGTCCATAACTGCAGCACTTTAAAATGTTTTAACCTCCTTAAATGTTGATATTTTATGCTTACCCAAAACTACTCAAGACATAGTAATGTTATGTTCCTATAAGTATTATATTATTATATTTCTATGAGAATATATTAACAAAAGAATGAATAACACTGTATTTAGGCCGATATAATTTACGTCAAATACATTATAGAAACACTTTTATTACGAATCAGATAACAGAAACCCACATTAAACCTTTAAACCCTTTAAAGAATATCTCCTGTCTGTTTTAACGATCATTATATCTGCATTTTTGTTGTGTTTCGTATTATTCTCTGTGCAAACAGCGATTATTTAATTAAACGGTGTCAAAAATTGATCTTTATAATGGTGAAGTGTTGTTTTCTCTATGCGGTACGGACTAAATTATTAAGTTTATCGTAGGCGACCTTTGATTTTAAGGGTGATTATGTTATCTAGTTTTATGGTGCATATTGTGTACATGGGATATTTTCCAAAATTTCTGTTGGAAAATTAAATTAGCTGAGCTACTATTAGATACTCAAGGACTTTGCCACATGCAATTATTTTATATTTAATTTTAATTAGAAGCATATTTGAAAGCAAGGCCGTATTTATAATCACTGTTATAGCTATATAAATGTCTTACTTGTGGCTGTAAGTTGTATTAAGGGTTAACAATTTGAATTTAACGAGGGAATTATACTACTTTGAACTTTCCCATGTCAAGGTTTTATTTAAAAAGAATAGCGTAAAGTTGTTAAACTAACAGAAACACGCTTTACCGTGCAGTCTCGAATAGACGGAGCAAACACGATGCGCAGTAGAATTTGGACGAGTCCATTAAAGACGTACCGATTAAAAGGGGTGTGTGGATTAGTTCAGCCACAACATAACTAGCCCTCTGCACTACTCCCCCAGTCAGGTTCATATTTGTATACAACGTGTTTATTGAAAAATTAATGACTTGTGCCACCGGATGGTTTGACTTTATACCTTTCTAGAAGTTAGAATTTGAGTTTCAGATTTCCAGTCAAAGAATAATATATGCTTAAGATGGGTGACTTCTGGTTGTTGTGTCGTGTAGTCTGGAAGAAATTTTCCTTCGTTTCAGAAGTCCTTCCTGCCTCTATCATCAAGTGATGAGTCACTGTGATGATGGAGGCAGCAAGGACCTCTGAAAAGTCAGTAAACTTCAGACTATATAGCGCAACAACCCAGAATACAGCTATCTTAAGACTCACTGCCACAAGAAAATAAAATCCAACAAGTATATGTGCTGTCAGAAGTCAGAATATTGATGTGCAATCACTGCACAGTAAACGTAAAATCTCGATGTTACTCGAACAATTGTTAACGGGTAAAAAATTACAATCTGTATGCATGTGTTGTATCATACAGACACTGTAAATACATACCAGTTCAAAAACCTAAAACCCACGACAACATGTGGGTACAGTTATCATCTACACCACCAAAGGAGCGCTAAATTAGTCCTCCAAGCCGCATCAGCTCTGGGCATGGATCACATACGTCTGGGTCCTCCGATGGCTTAAACCATCAGTCTCAAATATTGTTTCTAATTGGTTTCAAAATTTTGTGTAAGTCTGATGACATTTTTTTATGCAGTTCTCATAAATTTTATTTCTAATGCGAATAATCTCTCTTCATCTGCCTTTCAAATCATCCATGCTACCAGAGCATTAGAAATGTTGCAGAACTTCTTCATGGTGATGAATCTTAAAAATGTAGTCAACTTGGATGCCTTAATATTGCGGGAAACCAAAGACGTAAACACTCAAAAAAAGTTTCCATATTCCATCCACAACTTCTTGGTAAATTTAAATCAATTAAAAGGTAATTTCAGTGTTCAATATGAACAGAAACATAAGATAAAATCCATTGTCAAAACCATGGCCAAAGCAAGAAATTTCGCGGTTTTGTTTAATAACGCTCACCACTGCGATCTGTTGCTCAGGATGGGGACCGTTGGTGGGCTCTTGTCAACACAGTAATGAACCTTCTGGTTGCATAAAATGTCTGGAAAATTTTTGAGTGGTTGAGCGACTGTCATCTTCTCAGGAAGGCCTCCGTTCCATGGACTAAGTAATTGTGCTCTGTTAAAATTTCACATTGTTAATTACTGCGGAGATTTCAGAACGGCAGCCACTCCAGAAACTTTTCCATCCTCCAAATAGCTCTTTACTGTTATAGTGGTACCATCGATGACCTGCATGACTGCAGTAGTACCATCTACATAAAGTGATACATCGTTTCTGTCAACATGATTTCCTGTCAATTCTACTGCCATCATATAGAATTGCTCTTCACTCAGCAATCCATTTGATGCCAGTCCTCTCTTGTTGAAATCGCGGAAGGTAATTCCATCCACAAAAAAAAAACTTTGTTCAGTTTCTTTTTTTGCTGAAGTAGCAGCGTTCTGGCTGTTGTATGCATAGTTAAGCTTAAAAAATCCATCTTTCTCTTCGTCTTTAAACCCTTTTAATACTTCCTGAAGGAAATAGTTGTTTGCATTGCCAGATATACCGTACTCTTTATAAAACTCCTCTATTTTTGTATCTGGCTTCAATTTTTGTATAATCGTCCACATTTTATCAAAATTTAACTTTTCCTTTTCAACTTCACTTTGCACAAACTTGCATACAAACTTCAAATATCTAAAGAAATCGTTTGGATTCCCGCAGATCTGAGAATCTACGAACTTTGAGTGTATGAATATTACTTCATCTCGATATGACAGATTAGTTTGGGTTCCTTCATGAATGAAGGTGTTTTTCCCATCACACACTCTGGTGCCTCCAACAACATTATCATCTACTGCAGTTCCACAGTTTTCAAGTGAGTTTTCTTCAGCAATCACAGTGCCAGCAATTTCTCTCATCTGGCCACGCGCAACATCTTCCAGAATTCTATGACCTTGAATGATAATATCTGACCAGTGCTTCACACCAAACGCTTCACATATCTTTATGATAACTACATTTATCTCTTCATTCCACTCTATCCACCATCTGTCAAGAAGTCTTCCACTTTCCACTGTATACGTGGGCATACTCATATCCCCTTTCATCACACGTTTTGTAAATGCAACCAATTTTTTGCAAACAAATTTACAGATGTCACAAATTTTGTTCATAGCAGGCTTGTTCACCAAGGAAAAACTACTCCCAATGGTTAAAGCAGGGAAGGTGGAAACATCTGTTACATTAGCCACACCACCCTCAATATTTTGAGCGTTGCTCGATATCTGTTTCATGACAGAGCGCACATCAATCTGTCCCATACTACTTTTCCCAATGTTGTTCATCACATTATATGCCACATGTGTTGAAATAACAGAATTTGTAAAGAACAGTACAGATGATGTAAAATGTACTACATCCAATGAAGATACTTCGCACTCAGTGAAATGCTTCTCAATTATGTTGGCCAGCCCATTGATAACTGCCAGGGAATTAACAGCACATGAACCAGCTGTTACAGATTTCACAGCAATCTGTCCTGCTACGGTAACACCTTTACCAGCCTCAGCCAGTTTACAAACTGTTGCAGTGGTACCTCCTGAGGCAATGCTCATAATGCCACCCCCAATGCCCAGCCAACAATTGCGGGACTCGGCATTGTCCAGGCCGATGCTTTGCTCATGCTGATGACGATCCACAAGTGTCTCTGTGCTGCGTCCAATTCCGTAAACTCCAGTTACCGCAGAAACCCCAATTGCACCTGTATTGGTAAAACAACATTCTCTTTAAACGAGACCAGCTCTGTCAGACAATGGCTGTCTTCCAAGTTGTTGTGCCATGTAGTCTGGTATTAGTTTAATAATGTTGAGGTCATTGCTGCCTCCATCATCAGGGTATTAATCACAGTATAAACAGTCGTGTGAAACCTTAAGATGGATGACTAGAGTTCCTGTACTTTGCCACAAACATTCTTATGTTAAAATATTTAGTAAAAATCAGCCTCACAGTTAAAGAATAAATTTTTATATCTCAGTTGCTTTATATACATTTCAATCAGTTATTGATGTCTGTTTGACAAATGTTATTGTCTACAACGTATTTCTATTCATGTTGAAATCGTTTAATCGACATGAAATGTTCCATCATGCCATCTGTTTCATGAACTCTGAGGTTTAATGGTTTAGCAGTATGCTACTACGAAGCATGGCCACTGGATATGGAATACTTTGTATACTACGAATTTTTCCTTTATTTTGACTAAACTCTAATATTTATTTATTTACTTATTTTTGTACCAATGTAACCCTTATGATCCCTGATGATGGTGGCAATAAGGACCTGTGAAACATCGGTAATCTTCTACAAGACCACACGGCGCTATAACACAAAAGACATCTTCAGACTCACCGCCGTGAAAACCTCTAATACTGCGTAACTGGTTCTACTTAAGCTTTTTATATGAAGAAGTTACACATCTCTGAAATGTCAGTATCTACCTACAAGTCCACGTGGTATTACAACCCAGAAGACAATATGTCACATAAAGTGAAAAGGACAAATAATTTTCTGAAAGGACATATTCACAAACTAATTACTTTCATAAAACCTGCATTACTTACCTGCAATAAATGGCCATGCCATTGGCACGAACATCGCTGCTGTTCCTACTCCCACAGCTGTAACTCCAAGCACAGAAGTGGTAATGTCAAAACCTTCAATCACCTTTGATCCAAGATTTCCTGCTGGCGATATCCCGAATTCAACTTGTACCTTACCAAACTGTGTTTCATACACACCGTTCTTTGGGTAACACAGTATAAGTTCTGGTAGTTTGTTGCATTTCAAGTAGTCACTCCAATTCTTGTACACTCGACAAGAATAATCAATGAAAATGTTATTTTCATTACCATGTGAATCATATCCACAAAATCGTATCACAGGCACTGAAACACAGCCATCATCTGCTTTCCCATACACATACAGAAATGACAACAGAATGTCTTCCGGATGTTTGTATCGTTCCTTGCATTTGATTATAGTATTAAGAACTTCATAAATAAATTTCAGTTCCTTATGTTCATATCCAGTATAATCATTCAAGCTATTTGGCTCTTCCTTTGGATAACCATAAACTGCATAACCAATATTTCTCTTAAGATATGTATAATCACATGGTTTATACCTGAACCATTTCTTGCCACGTAATTCATAAAAATCTTGCTGCTTTTTAGTTACTTTTTCTTTCCACACACAAATCTCACGAGAATTCCAGTCAACATTCATTTTGTAATTTTATAATTAACCTGTAATAAAAAGTAACATTAGGTCTTACACGTTACAAAGAAGATATTTCATAATGTACATAAAATAAAACACGTCTTGACATGACATGCACCTGAAAGGTAACGTTTATTTTCCCAACTGACCAGAATCTACTGTACTTAAAGTCCCTTGCGAATGCCGCAACATTCAAATATCTGGGAACAAATCAAAATTTCATTCATGAGGGAACAGGAACGTGGGAAAAACTGCAAATTTGGAGCTCCATAAATTATTCTTCACCAAATACACAAAAAGATAATCAAATTAAGGACAGAATGGGAAGAACATATAGCATGCTTGGGGGAGATATAAATGCAAATAGAGCTTTAGTTTGAAAGTCTGGAGGTAAAGGGTCCATTTAGAAGACCTAGCTGTAGATAGGATAATATTATAATAGCTCTTGGAAAAATGAGGCGTGAGGATATGGATTAGATTCATCGGGCTCAGGAATAGGACCTAAGACTCAATAAAGAACAGGGAATTTCTTTGATTAGCCAAGCATTCTGTCAGCTTCTCAAGAATGAATCTGCTCCATGGAGCTAGAATTTTATAAGAAAACAATGTATTGTACACAAGCATCCTCTTGCACTAGTTTATGAATGATTGCTTTTTTTTTTACATGCAACAAAGTACCATTCAATAACGCAAGAATATGTTTAGTAAATTATAAACGCTTTGATCGAGACAGGAATGAACCTTCACGTGTCTCAAAAAGCTAGGAATTTCTGGACCAACTGAACACACTATTTATTACCTTCTCAAGAAAGAGATGATTAAATAGCAAGTAAATAACTGGTTTGTGTCTTATGCTTTCTCTGACGATGATTGGAGAACGTCACGCGACCCATAGCATTGTCCACCGATTGGAAGTTGGCAAGGCAGCTGTGGTGGGGAATAGGTGGCCTGGAGAATTCTGTGTAACATCAACTTTCGCTTACATTCTACAACACAGACGCTCATTTCATCATAACAACGCTTACTCACAGTTGTTTTGGCACCAGTCAGAATTTATGCCAACTCCCAAACATGAAGCAACACTATTAACTAACATATCACAACATGCAAGACTCAATAAAAAAAATCTCATTTTTACCACAGTAACACGTCTACTACAAAAACTGAATGTAATAAAATAAAATATTTATGTACCTTCACTTCCAATTTTATAGTATCAAGAAATAGCTACCTAAAGTACATGTAACAGTTTTATATTCTTTACAACTTGTTTCAAAACAATGAACCGAAAACAATGTAACTGTACAATTTGCACCATACAACATCCTTTTGGTTAAGCAATAAGTTAATTTCCCCATTTCTAGTGCTATTAAAATTATATAACAAAGAATGCAAGAGAAATATTTACTTATCTCAGCAATGGACTTAAGCTAATGGAGGCATAGCTCCTACTCATTCTTGACCTTGGCACTCGATAGGGGTGAGTGGTCAGCATCATACTCCAGCCCTCCTTTAACCCCAGTATCTATTGGATGGGAGATTGGGTGGGCCCCAGAACGGGTCTGGAAATAGAGGCTAGGGAAAAATCCTCTTAACTATGTTAACTATATGTACCACATGCATCAACAACCAATTGCTATACACTATGCCCACAAAGTCTATTTATACAATATATGTGATTCTCATAAACGATTATTACCTCCTTATACAGCAATAATAAATTAATCTTTGTCATGGACAAGTGTTGGGTTTTAAACCAATATATGTACTGAAATTTTTTAAATATTATAATGAATTTTTCTCAGGAACCATCTGGCTAGCAGCCTAAGAATTCATTATAATTAGTCACTGTGAAAGCTTCAGACCATACATTTTTAAATATTATTTAGGCAAGCAGTGAATTTGAAGGGTTAACATGTCAAGCAGGGACAGGATAGACTATGCATGAAGATGGAAAACAAAGCTGTTTACAGTGGGGACTGGTAATTGTGACATAATTATTCAGAAGCTCATAATGGAAAACAAAGGTTCATTATTATTTTCACAACAGCCTGCTACAAGATTCTATCCAGTTTAATTAAGATCGACCCCAGGGAGGTGGGAGTTCCAGCATACCTGTGGGCAAACATGATCTATACATGTAGCCTCTAAGTTAGATAGGCTCTATCTGGAAAAGACCAAGTTTCTGGAAGTGTCAGATGGATGCTTAAAAAAGCCAGGGGCAGACAAAGTAATTCTGGGGGATCACAACTAGGATACACAGTACTACCCAAGTTCAGGGTGCCTGAAAGGCCCAAGTCAGAAAGCAGTATCCAAATTAGAGGCCAACCCTCTTCATGAAACTAGGGGCTCTATGAGCTTCACAAGGAGGTTTTCAATTCAAGTACAGATTACTATATTGGGAATAATATTTTGCAGCATCGTGTTGGGCATCCTATGTGTGTAACATTCAGAAATACGGTTGAATGGCTTGCCAAAGTATGTGTGGCTTCTCGGTTTAATGTTGTTTGTGGGGATAGCCTCCACGGAACTGTAACACTACACACCTACCATATGAAATACATGCATTATGTATATGGAACATACAAATGAGGTATTCTGATATATCGTATGTGTGAAAATTGGTTTTCAACCTAAGTACATACCTTTGACACAAAACAAAGTAATATGAAGTTGCCTAATTTCGAGTCAACCCAAATACCAGCCAACAACACTACATCCGTCAAATAAGAACGGCACGTCATCAAGCGCAAGTTGGAAAGCACAGACTACTAAACACGAATTAACGCTATTAATACAGATTACTAATACCACAAAGGCCTCAATACAAACGAGTGGCTATAGGGACATCAGTTGGCATAACATAAAAATAAAATTTGTATACGACCCGTGGTTCAACACGATCACCAACATTTGTTTTTGGCTAATCTGTATTCACGTCTGTTTAACGGTTACTGAAGAAAAAAGAGGCAACTATTTATTGTACAATATACACATAGACTAATACAATCATTATAAATTGCACTAACACCACCACAGAAAATCAATTATATGGCACTACAGAAGTTGGTTAACCTGGTAACACTCTGTGCTTTACAACTTGCACTTGATTACGAGCGTTCAAATTTCACAGATGTAGTGTTGTAGGATAGTGTTTTGATGTCTCTAAATTAGGCAACTTCATATTACTTTGATTTGTGTCAAAGGTATGTGCCTTCGATTGAAAACCAATTTTTACACACCCACATATAAGATATCAGAATACCTCGTTTATATGTTACATATACATAATGCATTCGTATTTCGTGTGGTAGGCATGTAGTGTTACAGTTCCGTGGAGGCTTTCCCCACAAGCAACATTAAACCGAGACGCCACACATACTTTTGCAAACTATTCAACCGTACTTCTGAATGTTACACACATAGGTTTCCCAACACGATGCTGCAAAATGTTATTCCCAATATAGAGTTGAAAAACTCATTGTGAAGAACGTTTTGAGAGATGAGGCATAGATAACGATCATTCAAATGGGTGGGGTTGCATGCGTGTTTGAGTGCATCCCCACACACTTCAGCCCTCTAGTAGGTATCTTGCATAGTGGGATCTCATAATCATTTGGTTTCATAAGGTGCTTATTAAGAGATGACATCAGAACAATTGTTGTCTCAGCTAGCCAAGGTCTTGCACAGAACTGCTGACTTGCTACTATTGGCAGCCATAGTCAAGGAATCCCTTTAAGTTTTAGGTCTCATAGAGCCCCTAGTTTCATGAAGAGGGTTGGCCTCTAATTTGGATACTGCTTTCTGACTTGGGACTTTTAGGAACCCTGAACTTGGGTAGTATTGTGTATCTCAGTTGTGATCCGCCAGAATTACTTTGGCTGTCCCTGGCTTTGTTAAGCATCCATCTGACACTTCCAGAAACTTTGTCTTTGCCAGATAAAGCCTATCTAACTTAGAGGATACATGTACAGATAACGTTTGCCTAAAGGTTTGCTGGTACTAAGTAAACTGGATAGAATCCTGTAGCAGGATTCATGTTTTGGAGTTGGCATAAATTCTGACTAATAGTGTTTGTTTATTTTTGTAATTCTCTTCATACCCATTTGACATATATAGATAAAGTATTTGAAAATGGCAATGATTGCATCCCTCCATCTGCCCAAACTTGGTGTTTATAATTGTTACGTTTCTGATTCGGCAGTATATAAACAGCAGTTCAGAGTAATGTTCACTACTTCCATGATTATACCATGGTATCTCAGGTTGACGACTTTTTCAAAATATTAATTGGTTAATTTAAGTCATGAAAAAAATTATATATATCAGATTCTTGATGTCAGTTAATAACAGACTGCTGTATTTCCATAAACCATGTGTTAATATATATGATAAATGACATGGATAGGATTTTTATGTTTCTGTAGCAGGTATAAGTTTGTATACTGGCTGCGGTGACATTTATGTGCTATGATTGTGAAGAATTTAATATTTACAAATAATTGAAATTGGTCCCAGGATAATTTGAATTAATAATTGCAGTTATGTAAACAATGTTTTGTACTGCACGATTAAATATTTCACATCACATCAGACATCAGTGAAATAAATATGATTTTGTCTTGTTTTTGGAAAAAAATCATCAGTTAAATTATTGTATTAATATACGGAAAGGTCTCTTATTTTGTGTAATGAACAAAGTAACTTACCTGGTTGTATTAGCAATGTAGTTCTGTATTGTAACAGGATATATGTTTAATGATAGAATTTGGCTAAATGCATACTAGCAAATTACTTGTAAAATATCGTTATTGATAACCTATTGGCAACTTGATGTTTTAGATGTTCTAGGGGGATATCTCAGAATTTAAGAGAATTGTTATACTTGTTCGGTGGTGTATTTGCATTGGCATCACTTGTGTTGTTCAATAAATAGAGAAATGTGCATGATTGAATAGTTATGTCCATTAGAAAGTACACAGGTTTCTTTATACCGCTGATTCGTGAAGTGAGATTGTGTGTTATGTATTCAAGTGGCTTAATTGGAAGAGTGTCAAATTGAAAATCTTTTGCATGTGGTAATCAAAGAGACTACTTTACTTTTCACAGATTGATAGATGGTTAGGTAGATTCAATCACGTTTCAGCCATCACCACTACACGTGCCAAAACAACTGTGAGTAAGCGTTGTTATGATGAAATGAGCGTCTGTGTTGTAGAATGTAAGCGAAAGTTGATGTTACACAGAATTCTCCAGGCCACCTATTCCCCACCACAGCTGCCTTGCCAACTTCCAATCGGTGGACAATGCTATGGGTCGCGTGACGTTCTCCAATCATCGTCAGAGAAAGCATAAGACACAAACCAGTTATTTACTTGCTATTTAATCATCTCTTTCTTGAGAAGGTAATAAATAGTGTGTTCAGTTGGTCCAGAAATTCCTAGCTTTTTGAGACACGTGAAGGTTCATTCCTGTCTCGATCAAAGCGTTTATAATTTACTAAACATATTCTTGTGTTATTGAATGGTACTTTGTTGCATGTA